AAGGCCTAGCAACTTGCTGAAGCCCCTGCAGTGCTGGGGACCCAGGCGTCCTTGTGAGGCTGTGCACACTCTGACTGCCTGGGGGTACTGGGCAGTCCATCTGGGGATCTGGCTGCCCGCTCCCCCCCGCCCCCCCCAGCTCCCAGCCACATGCTACCTGGAGGCTGGGCCTGAGGGTTTGCTGTGTGGCCACAGCTACCCCTTGTATTTTTTCCTTCAGCTAGAGGGAGCCCTAAGTTCATCTGGGGGGGTTATCCTACGTTCCATCTGTTTCCATGTATAATCTTGTCTCTGCTCACAAGCCCCTCCTTCATGATTTATAGAACAGTATGCATAATATAATCCCAACTGCATTAAAAAAAAATAGATGTACATACAAGCTTATGTACGCAAAGAAACTTTCTGAAAGAATTGGTTGTGCTTCCCTCTGGTGGTGACACACGTTGAGAGAAGTCCTGTGGGGAGTAATTTTTATCTTTCTCTTTTACCCCTCTGATCATTGCAAAATGTTTTGTGTGTATGAAAATGTATTACTTTTATAATTAAAATAGAAAAACTAATTCAAAAAAGACAAAGGCTAGAAGCCAAAGTCACCTTTAATATTCTGCTGTCACTAACGGGGCAACTGTTTGAAAACTCTGCAGAAACATGGGAAATGTTCATAAATGGCCCTGTGAAGGCTTCTCATCACAGGATCATGTGAGCGCCACAACTACCCCAGGAGTGGCGAAGGTGCTGAGTGTTTACTACACCCAATTCTCTTTCTGGATCCACAGGAAGATGACACTTTGCAGGCTCCTTGCTGTTAAACTGAGGTCCAGTGACAAGAGTTCTGGACAATAAAAATGGGCAGAAGAGACATACCCCACCTCCAGGCCCTGCCCTTAAAAGCATCCCACCTGATTCACTAGCCCTCTCCTCCTCTCATTTACCAAACTTGGAAACCACACACTCCAGACGGTATAATTTATGGCATGATGGGAAAAGCTGGATCTCCAAGGAAATCTGGCCAATCTGCACTGGAGTACATTTTTACGGCATGAGGCCAGTGAGACTTGAACATTAGCAGAAGTGCATGTGGTTTAACTCAGTGGTTTTCAAAGCATGGTCCTTTCGGAGTATCCATGAAGTCTACATTAGTTTCACAATAATACTAAGGTGTTATTTGTCTTTCTTGAGTGTACGATTGGGTTTTCCAGAGGCTACATAAGGTGATATTGAAACGGGTTGAATGCAGAAGCAAATATGAGAATCCACTCTTCTATTAAGCCAGATATTAAGGAGATTTGTAAAAATACAAAACAATGCCACTCTTCTCACTTTCTTTTTGGTTTGGAAAAATATAATTACTTTTCATTAAGAATGTATTATTTGGCCGGGCGCGGTGGCTCACGCCTGTAATCCTAGCACTCTGGGAGGCCGAGGCGGGTGGATTGTTCAAGGTCAGGAGTTCGAAACCAGCCTGAGCAAGAGCGAGACCCCGTCTCTACTATAAATAGAAACAAATTAATTGGCCAACTAACATATATAGAAAAATTAGCAAGGCATGGTGGCGCATGCCTGTAGTCCCAGCTACTTGGGAGGCTGAGGCAGGAGGATTGCTTGAGCCCAGGAATTTGAGGTTGCTGTGAGCTAGGCGGACGCCATGGCACTCACTCTAGCCTGGGCAACAAGCGAGACTCTGTCTCAAAAAAAAAAAAAAAAGGCTGGTCCAGTGGTAGTCATCAGAACTTATTCACATTAGTGTCATTCAAGTTGGTATTCAACCCACTGCTAAATTTGACTGGCTTTTAAAAAAAAAAAAATGTATTATTTGTGTTAGCATGTAATGGGTTTCTTATGTCATTTTAAATGAATTAATAAATGTGAACTTTTTCTACATTTTAATTTCTCATATGATAAATCTTGATGGATACAATCCACATGACCAAAATTCTTTGGAGCTCTCAGTAATATTGAGGAGTGAAAAGGGGTCATGGCCAGGTGTGGTGGCTCATACCTGTAATCCTAGCACTCTGGGAGGCCGAGGCGGGTGGATTGCTCAAGGTCAGGAGCTCAAGACAAGTCTGAGCAAGACTGAGACCCCATCTCTACTAAAAATAGAAAGAAATTAGTTGGACAACTAAAAATATATAGAAAAAATTAGCCGAGCATGGTGGCACATGCCTGTAGTCCCAACTACTCAGGAGGCTGAGGCAGGAGGATCGCTTAAGCCCAGGAGTTTGAGGTTGCTATGAGCTAGGCTGATGCCATGGCACTCTAGCCTGGGCAACAGAGTGAGATTCTGTCTCAAGAAAAAGAAAGAGCCGGGCGTGGTGGCTCACGCCTGTAATCCTAGCACTTGGGAGGCCGAGGCAGGCGGATTGCTCAAGGTCAGGAGTTCGAACCAGCCTAAGCGAGACCCCCCGTCTCTACCAAAAATAGAAATAAATCAATTGACCAACTAAAATATATATACACAAAAAATTAGCCGGCCATGGTGCCGCATGCCTGCAGTCCCAGCTACTCGGGACTGAGGCAGTAGGATCACTGAGCCCGGAGATTGAGGTGCTGTGAGCCAGGCTAATGCCACGGCACTCACTCTAGTGTGGGGAACAAAGTGAGACTCTGTCTCAAAAAAAAAAAAAAAAAAAAAAAGAAAAAGAAAGAAGAAGGAAGGAAGGAAGAAGGAGAGGAGAGACAGAGAAAGAAAGGAAAAGAAGGAAGGAAGGAGGAAGGAAGGAAGGAAGAAGGAAGGAAGGAAGGAGAGGAGAAGGAAAGAAAGAAAGAAAGAAAGAAAGAAAGAAAGAAAGAAAGAAAGAAAGAAAGAAAGAAAGAAAGGAAGAAAGGAAGGAAGAGAGAGAAAGAAAAGGGGTCTTGAGACCAAAAAGTTTGAGACCTTTGGCTCTGCGACAGGTACCCATCCTGGATGTAGGCAGTTTCAATCTGGAAACGCACATACAGTACTTCCACTATGGGAAATTCTCTTGAATTATTTCTTAGATTTTCTCTCCTTAGTTTTCTCTGTTTTTACTCTTCAGAATTCTGAGTCTGATATTGGACCTCCTGTACTGTCTTCCTATTTTTTTAATCTTTTCCTTATATTTTTCACCTCTTGTCATTTTTTTTTTCTCCTCTTACTATCATTGTATTGAGTTTCCCACTTCTATTATATTTTTCATCTTTCAAGAACTGTAATATTGCTCTCTGGGATTTCTTTTTCTTTTTTTCTTTTGCAGTTATTGTTTTATGAATGTAATGTCTTTTCTAATATCTCTGGGAATATTAACACAGAACATCCATTTCCTCTAACTTGTTTTGTTGTTATTGTTTCCATCTCTGTTTTCCATGTTACCTTATTTTTTATTTATTTATTTATTTATTTTTGAGACAGAGTCTCACTTTGTTGCCCAGGCTACAGTGAGTGCCGTGGTGTCAGCCTAGCTCACAGCAACCTCAAACTCCTGGGTTCAAGCGATCCTCCTGCCTCAGCCTCCCAAATAGCTGGGACTACAAGGCATATGCCACCATGCCCGGCTAATTTTTTCTATATATTAGTTGGTCAATTAATTTCTTTCTATTTGTATAGTAGAGATGGGGTCTCGCTCTTGCTCAGGGTGGTTTCGAACTCCTGACCTTGAGCGATCCGCCCACCTCGGCTTCCCAGAGTGCTAGGATTACAGGCGTGAGCCACCGCGCCTGGCCTCCATGTTACCTTTATTCCTCTGAAGTCTGCTGGTTGTTGGTTGTTTGCTTATGTAGAGGAGTCAGACCCTAAAAACCCGATTGGGAGGAGTGAATATTGAACGGGGCTTGTTCATGGTTTCAGTGTAGTAGGACCTGAGTGGTCATTTCCTTTAGAACCTCCTTCCGTCCCCCCTCTGCTTGAAGTCAATATGTTTAGGTGTTTTCTCTTAAGGTCTCTGCCAATCTCCTGCCTGCAGGTACATACTGGCTGTTGGCATCCTAGATCATTCCTAGGGAACAACAGAGATGTCTACATATTCAGTATGTAAACTTTTTAATCTTTGAGCTTTTAGGATGATAACCTGACCCTTAACTACTTGATGTCCCTCAGTTTAGAGACACTCTCTTCTGTATCATCTGCTGAGTTTGGGGAAGGGCAGCCCCATCTGGGTTGAGAAAGGGATCTGGGGTTCAACGGTATCTTCTTCTTTTTTTTTTTTAATAATTTTTTTATTGCAGTGTCTCCTCCCTCACAGTAGCGAGGCCACAGTGGCTCATGCCTTTAATCCTAGCACTTTGGGGAAAATTGTCATCATTCCTGTGTTAGTCTGCTCAGGGCACCATAATGAAATACTTTAGACTGGCATCTTTTTTTTTTTTTTTTTTTTGAGACAGATCTCACTTTGTTGCCCAGGCTAGAGTGCCGTGGCGTCAGCCTAGCTCACAGCAACCTCAAACTCCTGGGCTCAAGCAATTCTACTGCCTCAGCCTCCCGAGTAGCTGGGTCTACAGGTATGCTCCACTATGCCCGGCTAATTTTATATATTTTTTATTGTTATTTTTTAGTTGTCCAGCTAATTTCTCTCTATTTTTTTTAGTAGAGACAGGGTCTCGCTCTTGCTCAGGCTGGTCTCGAACTCCTGAGCTCAAACGATCCACCTGCCTCGGCCTCCCAGAGTGCTAGGATTACAGATGTGAGCCACCGTGCCCAGCCTAGACTGGCATTTTTTTTTTTTTTGAGACGGAGTCTTGCTTTGTTGCCTAGGCTAGAGTGAGTGCTGTGGCATCAGCCTAGCTCACAGCAGCCTCAAACTCCTGGGCTCAGGTGATCCTCTTGCCTCAGCATCCCAAGTAGCTGGGACTATAGGCATGCACCACCATGCCTGGCTAATTTTTTCTATATATATTTTTAGTTGGCCAATTATTTTCTTTCTATTTTTTTAGTAGAGACAGGGTCTTGCTCTTGCTCAAGCTGGTGAACTCCTGAGCTCAAACAATTCGCCCACCTCTGCCTCCCAGAGTGCTCTGATTACAGGCATGAGCCACGGCACCCCAGGCCTAGACTGGCATCTTAAACAACAGAAATTTATCTTCTCACAGTTCTGGAGATGGAAGTCTGAGATCGGGGTGACATCAAGGCCGGTTTCTGGTGAGGGCTCTCTTGTGGCTTGCAGATGGCTGTCTTTTCACTGTGTCCTCACATGGCAGAGAGGGTGACATCAGGGCCGGTTTCTGGTGAGGGCTCTCTGCGGCTTGCAGATGTCTGCCTTTGCACTGTGTCCTCACATGGCAGAGAGAGCTGTTCTCTGGTGTTTCTTCTTATAAGAGCATGAATCATCATGAAGGCCCCACCCTCATGACCTCACCTAAACCTAAGTATCTCCCAAAGGCCCCGTTTCCACATACCATCACATTGGGTGTTAGGGCTTCAATATAGAGATATTGAGGGGATACAATTCAGTCCATAGCAATCTCAAAACAGAAACTCTGTACTCATTAAACAACTCCCTATTTCTCCCTCTCCCCAGCCCCTTGGTAACCTCTACTCTACTTTCTGTCTTCATGAGTTTACCTTTTCTAGGTGTCTCCTGTAAGTGGAATATACAATATTTATCCTTTTGCATTTGGCTTATTTCATTTAGCAGAATGTTTTCAAATTTCATGCATGTTTTAGTATGTATTTGAACTTTATTTCTTTTTATGACTGGCTGATATTCCACATTTTGTTTAACCATTCATCTATTGACAGACACTTGGGTTATTCCCATCTTTTGGCTTATGTGAATAATGCTGCTCTAAGCATTGGTTGACAGGTATCTTTTCATGTCCCTGCTTTTAATTCTTTTAGGTGTATACCTAGGAGTGAAATTGATGGACATTTGCCTTGTTTTTTAAAAATTGACTACTGATGCTGCTTCCAATGTCCTCAACTCTTTGACCAACTATCCTTTCCAAAAGGTTAGTAGTCTTAAAAGAATTATTAAAGTATTTTACTTAAATATCTTTTTTTAGCTGCTGCAATCAAACGTGAGATGACTTTCCTTGCTTGGCTCACAAAGGAGCCACTCAGAAAATTGTTTTGTGGTTCATTGTTTACTTTTGTGAAGAAATTCTGCTGTAATGAGATATTCTATTTTAAATTTTCTAAGTTGTTTTTTTGTTTTGTTTTGTTTTTGTGTGTGTGTGTGTTTTTTTTTACCATTACTTTCCTATGAATTGAGAATATTGGGATGAGGGCTTAGTCTGGTAATATTGATTTTTTTTTTTGAAACAGAATCTCGCCCTGTTGCCCAGGCTAGAGTACCGTGGCATCAACCTAGCTCACAGCAACCTCAAACTCCTGGGCTCAAGTGATCCTCCCACTTCAGCCTGCCAGCATGCTAGAATTACAGGCCTCAGCCACCTCACCTGGCCTGGTAATATTGATATACATTGTATTCATTTAGCACAGCGATCACATCATTGCATAATAAACAGAATGCTTTTCCATTTAATTTAATAACAAAATAATTCACACTCCATTATGCCTTCAAAGCATGAAATTCACAGTTCACTCATTTCCTCTTTTCCGTTTTGACATATTGGATATGCACTAGTAATGAAATGAAAGAAATGTAACATTAACGTAACATAATGTGGCAGTATAGTTATATGCATGGCACTCCAAGTTGCTGATTTCTAATTGCAAAAGTATAATTTGTAGTGCACGGAGCAGCAATGTGAAGTGACCTATAACTTCTGTCTCTACTACTCAACTCCGACTTTATAGCACCAAAGTCACTATAGACAATGAGTAAATGAGTGAGCCTGTCTTTGTTCCAATAAAACTTTATTTCTGCACACTGAAATTTGATAATTCTCACATATCACAAAACATTATTCTTTGTATGGTTTTGTTCTAGCCATTTGAAAACATAAAAACTATTCTTAGTTCATGGGCTGTACAAAAACTAGCAGTGGGCCAGATTTTGCCATGAGCCATAATTGAACAACACCTACCCTAGACTGTTGGCAAAGATCAAGAAGTGTGATAATCAGGGAAAGACAGACTCTTGCATTCCTCTTGGCAGAATGGTCACTGGCACAACAAATAGTGTATGGCAGGTGGCATCACTCATGATGTGGGAGCAATGTCACCTCCCTCACAGTATCCAGAACAGTGGCAAGACCTCAGTGGGGAGTAAGTACACAGTGCACCCAGCAAGGCTAAACCCTACAAATTCGGCACCAAGCTTGACCAAGGTCCCTGTGTCCAAGCTGAGCTTCTCCTCCTAGGGCCTTGTGAACAAGGACAGTGGCAGATCCTAAATGGTGGCCAACAGAGATTTGAGAGGAAACTCTGCCCCAAGCAAAATCTGGGTCCTCACTCAACCAGGGGAGGGGAGGGGACTCCAATACAATCATACACCACATAACAACATTTGGTTAATGATGGACTGCATAAATCATGGTGGTCCCATAAGATATAATAGTGTTTTTTTTGTGGTTCTTTTTTTTGTTTGTTTGTTTGTTTGTTTTTTTGGAGACAGGATCTCATTCTGTTGCCCAGGCTAGAGTGCAGTGGTATCATCATAGCTCACTACAGCCTCAAACTCCCAGGTGTAAGTGATCCTCCAGCCTCAGCCTCCCAGACAGCTGGGACTAGAAGTGCATGCCAACACATCTGGCTAACTTTTTAATTTTTTATAGAAACGAGGTCTATGTTGCTTAGGCTGGTGTCGAACTCCTGGGCTCAAGCAATCCTCCTGCCTCAGCCTCTCAAAGTGTTAGGATTACAGGGGTGAGCCACCGTGCCTGACCTTTATAATGCTATATTTTTAATGGACCTTTTAGATATGTTTAGATACATAAATACTTCCCGTAGCATTAGAGTTGCCTACGATATTCAGTATAGTAACATGCTGTACCAGTTTATAGCCTAGGAGCTAAGATATGCTATCCTATATAACCTAAGTATATAGTAGGCTATACCATCTAGGTTTGTGTAAGTACACTCTCCATTTGCACAATGACAAAATTGCCTAATGATACATTTCTCAGAACATATCCCCATTGTTAAGTGGTACATGACTATAAATACTTGCCAGAGGGGGTTCAGATTCAGATTTGGTGTGATTTGAGAAAATAGGATGTTTCTTACACAAAAGTGGTATTTGAAGTAAAAGTTTATACCCACTGCATAGATTTTTGTTTTTCTTTTTTTTTGTTTTTGAGACAGAATCTCACTCTTTTGCCTGGGCTAGAGTGCTGTGGCGTTAGCCTTACTCACAGCACCTCAAACTCCTGGGCTTAAGCGATCCTCCTGCCTCAGCCTCCTGGGTAGCTGGGACTATAGGCATGTGCCACCATGCCTGGCTAATTTTATATGTATATATTTTTAGTTGTCCAGCTAATTTCTTTCTATTTTTAGTAGAGACAGGGTCTCACTCTTGCTCAGGCTGGTCTCAAACTCCTGAGTTCAAGCAATCCTCCCGCCTCAGCCTCCCAGAGGGCTAGGATTACAGGCTTGAGCCACCGCGCCCAGCCCACTGTATAGTTTTTTTAACAACAACAGTTATCCTGACTTTCTGACTAACTTAGGCAGGGGTAAGACCTTGCTATGAGGGTGACAGTGTGTGGGGCCCCGAGGCAGCAAGCTGTCTGGTTAAGCTTCAGTGAAGGGATGGGAAGGTGGCTTTTGCAAATGTACCTTTGAGGTCACTGTATCATTTTAATAGGTTAAAAAAAGGGCAAGATGTTTTGTCAGAAGTGCAGAAACTGGAATCTGGCTTGCTGTTGAACCTCCATTCAAGGAGTCAGGCAGATGACAGAAATGACAGGACAGGCTGGTGGCCAGCCGCAAATTCCAGGGAGGAAGAGGGAGGGAATTAGGTCAGGTGAGGCTGAAGCTTCAGCCTACTTCTGCCGGTTTCACTCCGGAACCAGACTTGTGCATGTTGGTTGGATTCTGTCTTCTTTAAAGAAAAAGACACCTGACTGAGAGGCCCCCTGAGGGAGCCCAGAACAGCGTGGACCCACTGCCACATCTGGGGCTGGGGTCAGGGCTGGGCCTGAGGTTGTGCTGGAATCAGGTCAAGGCTGGGTTTGTGGCTGGTTCAGTCAGTTGGGTCAGTGTTGGATGGGATTTGGGTTCACAGCTCTGGAGCAGGGCAGGTATTCCTCTGCTACAGCCCCAGCCACAGGGGAGGAAGCAGCACATGTTGCCTAAGGTGAGTGTTTGAGTCTGTCCAGACCTGTGGGCAGAAAGGGCCGAGCACTGTCAGGCCAAGAGTTTAAACAAAGCCATCTGGAAAACAACAAATTGGGAAGCGATGTTTACCACATGTAACACTTAGGACTGATTTCCTTTATTTATCAAAAAGATCCTTTCTTTCTTTTTCTTTTTCATGAGACAGAGTCTCAGTCTGTCACCCTGGCTAGAGTACAGTGGCATCATCACACCTCATTGCAACCTCAAACTGCTGGGATAAAGCAATCTTCTTGCCTCAGCCTCCCGAGTAGCTGGAACTACAGGCCCACACCACCACACCCAGCTAATTTTTCTATTTTTAGTAGAGACAGGGTTTGGCTCTTGCTCAGGCTGGTCTCCTGGCTTCAAGCCATCCTCCCACCTCAGCCTCCCAGAGTGCTAGGATTATAGGCATGAGTCACCATGCCCAGGCTTTATTTCTTTTTTCTTTTTTCTCTTTTTTTTGAGACTGAGTCTTGCTTTGTCACCCAGGCTGGAATGCAGTGGCATGATCATAACTCACTGCAGCCTTGAACTCCTGGGGTTCAAGCAATTCTCCTGCCTCAGCATGCCACTAAGCCCAGCTAAATTTATTTTATTTTATTTTTTGTACAGATGGGGTCTCGCTATATTGCCCAGGCTGGTCTTGAATTCCTGGCCTGAAGTGATGATCCTCCCATCTTAGCCTCCAAAAGTGCTGGGATTACAGGTATGAGCCATGAGGCCCAGCCAAGTTCCTTTATTTCTTAAAAAGCAACAAGAAAAAAAGTACCATCTATCTCTCAATAGGCAAAGGACACACACAGGCAGTTCACTGTAAACACATGGCAAACAGTGCCAGTCCATGAACTCAGGTGTGTAAGACTGTCATGTAATTCTCTATAATTCTAGTTTCTCTCTGACCATGGCCTTCATTCAAATAGAGTACTTATTAAAAATTAATAATAATAACCTCAGTGCCTCACAAAGATTCTTGGGTCCCTGACACTTCAGGGGCCTCACTAAGCCAGCTCAGGAAACACAGGCCCAGGTGATGCTCATGTGTGGTTTGGACCGAGTCCCCATGGTATTGCACAGCGAGGGCATTGTTAGGACAAGTGGCCCCTGGGCTGTGGGAGCGCAGAGGAGAAAACACAACCCAGAATTAACAGCACAGTATTGAGAGTTTGCCAAGAATAGGGCACGTGTCACAGCAGGTAGCCTATGCAAAGGTTCAAGGTAACAGCATGGGTCCCTGAGAAGCCATGTGAGAAGGGCAGGTTTTGGGGAGTCTGGAAGAGGGACAAGAAGTAGAGAGGCTTGGATCCACATCGTGGATCTGCCAGGGCTGAGGACAAGTGGCCTTCACTGAGCACTGGCTGTGGGATCACCCTGTTTGTATTAGGAAAACTAAGGCTTGCAGAGGAGGGCCACACGATTCAAACAAGGCCCTGCAGCGACCGTGTGAGTGCCCTGAGCATGTGGCCATCCTGAAATTCCTGCAGGTCCTTTCTCCTCCCATGGGCTTCTCACTGTCCCTTGTGGGTGGCATGACTCCCCTGCTCACCTCGTCCCTCAGGACAGCCAGGGGCCTCCTCTGCCATCCCAGGCCACCTGTTCTCTCTTCTCTGGGTCCCTTTCCCTCTCTGGGCTGTGACTGTTTCCTCCTCCCAACTCCAGCTCAGCCTGGGAAGAGGTGAGTGTACTGTTAAGATAGTTCTGTTTTCAAGTGCCTCAGAGAAGCAGCCACCTGCAGTCTTCCTGCAAGACTAGAAACATTCCTACTCCTGAAAGGGGGATTTTAAAAAAATTTACACATGATAAAATTAATTCATTTTGGTGAACTATTCAACTCATTTTCACTAATGAACGGAGTCTTGTAACTCCCACCATAATGCAGATAATGAATAGCTCCATCACCCCAATACTCTGTCCGTCCCTTTGTAATCAACGCTCCCCCATCCCTAAACACTACCATCAACTGATATAGTCTCTGTCCCTACAGTGTTGCATCTTCCATGATGACATACGAAGAAGCAATCCTCCTGCCTCAGTCTCCTGAGTAGCTGGGACTATGGGCGTGAACTACCATGCCTGACT